GATTCGATGCATCCGTGCGCGAGGATAGACAGCTATGCATAGACGATGCGAAACGCGGAAGGTAGGGCGAACAAGTCACGGAGCGTGGCGGCTTTATTTATGAGGCTTACAAAGTATCGATCCGGCACGTCATTCGGGAGTAGTTCGGCCAGCCGGGAACTTTGTTGTCGGCCACTGAAAGTTTCTAAGCGGGGAAAACTCCGGCACAAACAGGTGGAACGGGCGATGAAGGCCTTCTGGCGCCAGCCAATGCTACGTGCTTGTGTGTATACATATATATATATATATATATATTTATATAGCGCACTCTCATACAGAACCGGCCTCTCTACACACACAGACAGACATCGAGCGTACACGTGCAATTGAACCCTCCGCGCGTTAACAATATTGAGAGAGTCGGCGCGAAGGAGGGGGTCGCAAACAACCCTCCGCCACGAGAGATTCAAGGAGGAATTGCCAGGGTCAACCTCGATCTATCGCGAGATGCTGCGGAATAAACGATTCTCCGCGCCATGCCTCCATTCTTCCCGAATAACTCCTCCTCTTATCGATCATTTCCAAGGATTTCGTCTCGTTTTAATTACCCATTCATCCATCCATCCATCCACGTTTTAATTTATTAACAATCGAGATGTCGAGAGGCACCGTTTCGTTGGCGACGATTCGGGAAACGATAAGTGTTTGGAAACGTGGATATAATCACGGCGGATAATTCATGGGGGAACAGAAAACGAAATACTCCGGGATACTTCAAGCTGAATAATTTATTCGCAAACGTGTACTCGTGAAAGCGAGGGGAAGAGGGGGGAGGGAGAAAGAGAGAGAGAGAGAGCAACGTGGGAGAGGTGGAAACAGCTCGTGCGGTCGATTGCGGTATCGCAATTAATTTACGTGCCATTTCTTAACGAGTATTTCCAATGTTCCTCTCTCTCTTTTTTTTTCACCCTTGTATCGGGCAGTTTAACGAATTTCTCTTCTTTTTTCCTCGCGAAGGTAATAATTCCATCTTCTCTCGTGGTTAAATTTTCACCAGGAAACTTTCCATGCAAATTTAATTAATCGATCTAAAATTCTAGGGGGAGAAAAATATGCGAAACGAAATAGCGGCAACGAAACAACGATAATCTGAATCTCGTTTGAAACTCGGATCGACGACATCGAATCTCTCTCGTTCGACGCGTTGTTGCCAACCGGAAAAATGCGAGGTGTCCGGGCAGCCTCGTTAACGATTCACCACCGACGGTATCGGTGTTTAACGATTTGACCACATTTGAGAAGCAAAAGTACGAGAGGTGGCAACGAGGAGGTGGAAAACGTCGTGAAAACGAAAACTCGCAAAGCGGCGGAATTCGAGGCGAAATTCGCCAATTTGTAGGCTGATGTTTTGCGTTTAGCCCCGGCCGGGCAGGGATGTGTTTCGCGCCAACCGCCAGCCCCACCACCGCCTCCCCCACCCCCCACCCGACCCGACCTGCCCGAGAATCAATACAGCTACCCGACCGCCGCCCCAACCCAGCAGCCCCACCTACCCTTCTTCCACGCTACGCAACCACCCCCTTTTCCCATTCTCGAGTGCCGATTCCCATTCTGGGTTCGCAGCTTCCACCCTCTCCACGTTTCTCTTTCTGCCACTCTAACCCCCAGGCCTGCATTCTCCCCACCCTCGAATACCCCCCTCCCCTAGTCAATCCATTCTGATCCCTTTTCTCCCCCTCGTTTCGAGGGGCGTCGGTCCCGCTCCGCCGGGCAACCTCCTCCTCCTCCTCCTCTCCCACGTGGAGAGGCTCGGCTGGTTTCCTTCGGGCCGCAGACTCGGCCAACCACCCCTATTGGCTGAACGACCGTTTAAAGCGGCGGCCGGATGTATCCTCGAGGAGGTATATAAAGACGATGATGATGAAAATGGGGGGGGGGGGAGGCAAGAAGAGCAAGTTTACGGATCGCGGTGAACTTGAGCGGCCGATTGGCGACCGGCCAACCCCCGAGGGGGTGTTTGCCCGATATTTACATTCGGTCTGTCCAGTGTGTTTCTGGCTATATTCGTTTCGATTGTCAATCGAGCGCCCGATCGATGAAAAGAGGGGGGGGGGGAGAAGAAAGATGTGTGCGCACACCTCGAATCGCTGCAACTGGTGATCATCTTTGACCGACCGTCTCCTCCTCTATCCAGCTTTGTCTCGATCAGAGAAGCAGGCGGCGCGTCGACGAGAGGAACACCATCGAAAGCCTCTCGAAATGGGGATGTGTTTAATTGACGAGCCCCTCCCTCTCTTTTTTAAAGAAGCTGTTCGTCGATTTAATGAGAAAGGAGGGAGGACTATCGATCTCCTTCTAACCTTTCTCACGTAGGCAGGAATGGCGGGAAACGGAGGAGCAAATATTTTTTAATTCACCCGAACACTTCTTCGTCACGCTTATTCTTATACGCGAGAAAAATGAAAATGGATTCAAGGCATTTTCATATAAAGAGAAAAAAAAAACGGGCAATTTCATGGAACAATTGATCGAGTCGATAACTTTTCCTGAAAAGAAAAAACAAATGAATCTTAAAGCGACGAATACATGAATGAACAATTTCGCGTATTAAGCGTGGAAACGCAAGAAGAAGAAGAAATTCCGTGGAAAAGGCAAGAGTTCGTTCACAGTCTTTAAAGTGGCTCTAATGGCCATTTCCAAGAAGCGTCTCGAAACTGGAGAGCAAGTTCCATTACGGTGGCCGGCTTAATCCCTTTCGGCGAGTTTTCGAACTCGTATAAGCCAGCTCGGAATTCGCCGACTTAGGGCTGTCGACCCAAGTATCCCGCGAGTCACGAATTCCTCCCAACTTTCCCCTCCCCCTTCTAAACCTGGCTCCCCCTTCGCTTACACGTTCGAGGGAAAAATAATTTCCACGCCTAAATTCGAACAATTCGCTCCAAGTTTTAGATTTTCGCGGGAAGGAGAACGATTCGAAATCTCGAACGATATGCTCTTCTTAAACTCTGGCAACCCTTAAACTTTCGGTGGAATTACTCGAATTGAACGAATGAAAGTTGGGTTAACGCGTCGTTTGGGATCAACGTTTCGACCCAATCACAGTAATGCAGATTCGATGGTCGATGGTGATATTTCGCAATATCTCTCCGATTTCAAAGGGAAACTTCATTGGTAAACGTTTCGCGTTAGATTTCTTTTAAACCACTGGATGACACGTGGTAGGAAAGAGCGATCGAAGAGGAATGGGTGTCTGGTATGCTCGATTGTCGTCTGGCCAGGAAATCGAGCGAGGAGAACACGAAGAAGGTGGGGCAATCGTGTCCGCGGCGAGCGGAAGTCGGCCGCCAAGCTAGCAACGGACTCTGTCCCCGATTCTTGAAAGCTCGAGGGTGCCGCAAACACGACTTTATTGATTTGCCGCGTTAAAGGGAACCGCTCGGTCCGCGTATGCACGCAGCAACGATCCTCTCTTCTCTCCTCGATGAGAAACAAATTCGATCGAGAAAATATCCTCCTATTTCATTCGTGTGTGTTAAGATATATATATATATATATGTACGTAATTTTTTTGCAACTTAAAATAACAATTCACGCCCGATGAATACTTGGAACCAATAGAATAGAAACCAAGAATTGTTTCTGATTCTGACTTTTCAATTGGAACTTCTTTCCTTCTTATCTCGCATAGACTGATATGTGTATATATATATATATATAGTATGTATGTGGATTCAATCATGGTTGGAAAAAATAAGAAGGGGGAGAAAAATATGAGCGATAAGGTGATAACACGTGGGCCCGTTAGTTACATTTCTCATTATCTGGCAGGTGTGAAAGCGGCAGCCAAGGACGAAAGAATTCTCAAATACGTGCGTGGCGACGAGTTGTTTATTCGGCGAGCAAACTTTTTTTTATCTTGTACGCGCGAACATTTTTTTTTTTCTCGTCGCATCGGATTAGGAATCGTATTTAGAAAGATTCGTCTGTCTTGGAAAAAATACTTTTTCTCTTTTTTTTTTTTCAGAAACCCATCTTATCTATTTTTAAAGAAAATATAAATTTGAGCGAAAGTTCGATCTCGATGATGAAAAATCGATAATCAAATTGTCGAGTCGTTTCGACAAGATTCATCTTTGAAAATATTATCCAATAAATTAAAGCGATATGACAAATTCATTTCATTGAAGAGTATGTCTCGTTGTTATTTAACAAAACGTGAGTTAAAAGATAGGGTATATGGATCGAGAAACAAGTACAGTTTGCATAGATCAATTGATGCACGAGTTAATACTGTGAAATTCGTTAAAATTAACAAGTTAATTTTGTAACGTTATCGAACGCTTTTATCTTTACACTTGGAATAAAATTGAAAGATTATTATTCTCTTAAAAAAAAAAAAATAGCTTGCCATTTTCTGGATCGTCCAAAGATCCAATCAAGATTCTTGACAATATTCTGGTCTATTTCTTCTATCGTCTGTTTTTTTTTTTTTTCTTTTGCAAGATTATTCGTACACCAAGATTATTAAAACCAAACAATCGTACAAAAGATTTAGCCTTTCGTGGAAATTAAAAAAAAAGAAATTAACATCGTATAAGTGAATAAAATTGGACAATTATGAAATAATAAAAAAAAATTTATGAGTGTGAATATGTCGACACGCAAAAAAGTTTCTCTGGAAACTTAAAATTACGTTCAAATCTCTTGAAAAATAAAACACAGTTTATCCCATTTTCCAGCAATTTTCCAAAACACAACTCGACTCGTTGTATTCTATACTTTTGCCTCTTCGTATATTTTGCGCATCGCCGAGACGAAATAGCAATGAACGAATGACGCTTACGTACACACACACACACGTACACCAGTTTCAACCCAAAATGAGTCGAACGCGAAAAAAACGAAGAGAAATAAAAAAAAAAAAAAAAAAAAAAATAAGCGGCATGACGCATTGCTCTCGCCTTTTATTATTGTAAACTGCATAGCGATTTAATAATAAAACGGAATTGAATTTCACTCACCACAACAAGCGCGTGCGTCAGAGCAGTCGATGACCTCGACCTCCTCGGTGTCATGCCGACGACCTCGCCTCTCATGATGCTCTCCACGACTGTGCAAAAAAGGAGCAAGCTAAAATTGACGCTTGATATTTTATCTTTTTCCTTCTTATCTTAAAAAAAAAAAAATACCGACTTCTTTCTTTCCTCAAGTCGAGGCAGTTTTTAAGAATGAATTTACGGAATTACGAATTCGTACCGTGTCGAATACGAATCGATCTTTCGAGATTTGCACATTCGTAGTTTATATGGGCTCACCTCCATCGCCGATCAACCGCATTTGTACTAAGCTCGGGTCCTCGTTGTGGTCCTCGAGAACTGTGTCGTCGGTGACGGTCAGGTCCTGAAATTGCATCGCAATTCGAGAACAGAACTTTTTCAACACTGATTTAAAACAAATCGCGATTTAACGAATTAAATAAACGGCGCAACGATTAATCGTGGTAATTCCCCGAGGAGGAGGGAACGATTTGAAAACAAATTCTGGAAAACAACCTCTTTCGATTACTTCTTTTTTTTTTATTTCTATTTATTATCCCAATTTTTCGATAATTCTTCTACATATTCAATACCCCTCTTTTCGTTACTAACAATCTCATCTTGTCTTGAAACATTAACGAAAATCGAAATTTTAATATATCGTAATTACCACAACAATTGTTGGTAATTGGCAAACGACATTATTCGGATATTACATTTATTCACACTCGAAAAGAAAAAGGTTGGATCGAGTAATTGATCGAGGAAGAAAAAAGAAAAAAGGAAAGATCGATTTATTTGGAAGGGCTTTTTACCTTGGTGGACTCGTTGTAGCCGACGATGACGGCGGTGTACCATTGCGTGGTGCCCTCGGCCCGATAAACTTCCACCCTGAAGCCGACCAGGACGCTCGGCGTGGTCAGCAGGATCCTTTGCCCATCCTGCATCTCTGCCCACCGCCTGACAGCGCTCGCCCAAGGCACCGAGCCTTTCGTCAGCTCCCAGTCCTGCTGCAGAAACGACAGTTCGGTCCAAGCCTCCGAGTTAAAGTTCAAATTGACCATTGGGATAAAGATATGCGTGGACATCGATTAACTTCTTTTTAATCCGACAATAAATCCTCGAGGCGTCATCGTTCTCCTCGCCGATCAATTCTCCTTTGATTCGTCGTGGTGATTCGTCACGAAGCTTTGCAAAAGTCGATTCTTTCGGTGGAAAAATTCGATAAACTCGAGGAAAAGGATGTGCAAGGATTCGTTTTTACGGGATTAGTTTCTAATTTGTCTGTTCCTTTAGATGGCGCTTGCGTAGCTCTATCCGTTTGTTCAACGAATGTTATTAATAATTTCGTGAAACGTGAAGTAAAAGTCGGTAAAAATAATTATTCGAATCGAGTGACGTTGCAAAATGCGACGATATTTATTTACACAACATTGAAGAAAAATCATCAAATAACACTTTCAATTATTTACGATTATCTAAACTTGCATCACAGATTGATTTAATTTCAAAATCGGTAAACGCACTTTTTTGTACTATTTTGTTATTATTTCAAAATCAAACCTTATTTAAAAACCGATCGTCACGCTCATCGAAGAATCGAATGTCGAAAATGGAAAATCAGAAGTAACTCTGTTCCGTTCCCTCTCTCTATAACATTTTCACAAATGCAACACGGTTATACGCGTGTTGCGTCAACGTCTCGTTACGTCACGTGATCGCATCGTTACGTCAGACGTGGCGTTGTGTAATCACGACACGATAATAGTAATATAACGGCAATTATAATGCCATTACCGAAGCGTCGAGAGAGGCTTAACAATCGCTCTCCAACGATTTTACTGCGACATCGATCGAATCGTCGTATCATCTCGAATTTTTCTTCTTTTCTCTCCGAGAACGATCAAGGAGAGAAAATCTTTCTCGAAGAAATTTTTTTTAGATAAACGTTTGGACAATTTTGGAAGATACGTTTAATGGATCGATCGATTTCAAAAATACTGCATAAATATTCGTATCGATTATAGACAGAAGATATTTAAACCACAGAATTTTCTCTAGGAATAAATAGAAAGAAGGATCAGAAATTGCATCCTCCTCGAAATTTCTATTCGATTTCTCGTTCGATGAATTTCTTACCTAAAAATGATTTCACATATACGAGTTATAAAACTTTTAATACTTTACTCTATCTTTACGTATAAAGAAAGAAAATTTGTTGAATATTAAATCGTTGGATATTAAAAATCTCCATTGATATTTTAATGATAAAGTAATTACTAAGATGCGTCCTCGGTTTGTCATTGTCAAATATCATAATAAAATTACGATCCCAATAACTACTTGCTCTCACATTTACCGTCTATTATTCCTCACCTTCCCTTTATCGTCAGTTTCTTTATAAATAAAAGTAATTTCGTCGTTCAATAAGAAAAATAGTTATCATATTTTATGCTTACAAAACTTTGAAAATAATAATCTACATATCAAACTTTAATGCAGCTCCGATCACGATCTCTAAGTAACTCGAGAATATATTATTCCACATTTCGCAAGATTATACGTAAAGAAGTTAGGAATCTATCCTCACGAAGCGATATTTAAAAAAAATCGAACATAAATATCGCCGTTCGAATTGCATTTACGTTATATTAAAATTTTATATTAATATTCCTCATTTTTTTTTTTTTAATATCTTCAGACAGAGAGAAAGAATTTTTCCCATCGCTCTGTACTGGAAAAGCGAAAATTATCGTTCGAATTGCCGCATCGATCCGAGTGTCTGCTTCACCGGCAAAGAGTTAACAACGATCACCCGTATATACACCCAGCTTATACAACATTTCGTCCGTCTCTGGAAAAGGGTGCAAGTTTCAATCGATGGTGTGCCGACTCTTGAGACGACGATCCAGAGCAGGGAGGAGGTACGTGGAGGACCGTTAGGTAAAACGGGAATATGTTGGCGCCTCGCGTTGGCCGTACTCCAACGTTTCACGCGGTGTGTCGACACGAGTCGGCGAACCGGCAACCGCCGCGAACAAGAGTCACAAAACCGTCTCTCGAAACGTTCGAGCTTCCCTCTCCACTCGGCCGGTCCACGTGATCGCTTCTTTCCGCACGTATCGTACGCGTTGCTAGGTATGCGGCTCGAAACAGAAACCGGCGGAAAGAAAACCCGTTGCATTTATAGTTCAGGGTCACCACACTCTGCAACCTCTTTCGACCGATTCCATTCCCCTTCTCTCTCTCTTTTTCTCTTCCCTTCTTCGTTCCATTTCGATCGACTCCACCCACTTCTCTTCCTTTTGCTTTCCTCTTCCTTCCTTCCTTCCTTCCTTTTTGCCTCCTTTTTCTTCATCCATGCGATTCCTCCACCCCATTGTCGTCGCCTCTTCTTTTCTTACCTATTTTTTTTCCCTTTCTTTCTTTTTTTCAATCCTTTGTTCGCTCGAAACATTCCTACTCCCTGGCTTCGCCTCTTCCCCCTTCCTTTTGTTTCCTTTCGTTCGGCAATTCGGTTCTCCTTTCTTTTCTTTTTCTTCTCGAGCAAAGATGTTTCCCTCTGTCTTTTGCGAAGGGAAAGTGCGGTTGTTGTATTCGATAATCGATAGAGCGAGCAGTTTCTATTTTTTTTTTTTTTGCGCTAAGCAATCAAGTTCAACCGTCAGCCTCATATCCAGCAGTGTTTCATCTTTAACGTTCTATCCAGAATCGATTCTATGCGACGAAAGAAATGATTCGAAGATGTAGGAATGATTTTTTTCGAGGCTTCGTCTTCGAAGTAAGCGGGAAAAAAGAGTAGAGTGAGAATTTAAGAAAGATTAAAATCGAGAAAGACGTGTCTTTCCCGTGAGATTAAAAAATAAGCGCGAAAAACTCCATCGAGCGAAACTAATTCGAAGGTGATCGGGTTTGACACGATGGCAACAAAAGCGGCGGTGGATCAAAACGGCTGATCCTGACCACGATCTCCTCCACGGAAACTTCTGGCCGCACACGTGAACGACTTAGAAATTCGCCTGAGATCCGGGAAAACTTTTAACGGTAAAAGTTCCGCTAGTTTAATTACTTGGAAACAATTCCCCGCATCCGCGTCCACCGAACGTAAAAACTTTTCAAGTACGCTCGAGGAGAAAGCGCTCGTCGGATCGATTTATCGCGCCATCCTTCTCCCCCCTATGGAAACACGCCATCTTGAAACACATCGCAAAATCGATCGACGCAATTTTTAATGCAAGCATTAATCGTTTCGAGATTGCGCGAAATTTAATTCAATTATCAGGAAATTTCTATCTTCGATCGAAAACTTTTTTACGAATTTGAATCTTCGAGTTGACCATGTATAATATTTTGAATAACGTTATATAAACTCTCTAATACACATTCTAGGGAGTGTTGTTGCTCGACCGGTAACCCTGTTAGATACAAAAACGAGCGCAAAGAGTTGGAAAGGATTGGAAACGACAGACAGAGGTGGGGACGACTTAAAGGCGATATATTCGGTCGAGATCGACAACCCTCTCGAAAGATTACTCGCGGTGACTCGCAGTCCCCCGAGGGCTGGCTGGATAGGTCAATAGCCCCGGAACTTGCCTCCAAGTTTCTCTACTCTCCTCGTTTCTAACGAACTAAGTTTCTGGTCGCGAGCCGAGGGCTTGCTCGGTCGGTTTAGGCGACTTGCTTAAACGGATCCTAACCGGCGCCCCTCGATCGGTAAAACATTATCGAGCGAGGCGAAGATTTTTAACATTTTCAAAGCGCGAGAGGAGGAGGGATGCAAGTTTGCTCGTCACATTTTTCACAAGGGAATAAGGAAAGAAGGTTGATAACACGATATGTTGTACATATATACTCACGGTAAACGGCTTCAGCTTCGAGTAATCGACGAAGTCCAGCCTTCGATCTTGCATGAATTCGAGGGGCATCGCGTCTTCCGGTAACTCTGCACGCGCCACCAGGGGATAAAACGTCTGCAAGTGAATTCGATTCGATTACATTGACGTTATATTTTTCGTCCTCAACCGAGTGAAATTTTTTTTATTCTTTAATTACGAAATTTATTTTTCCACCAATCCACCATTTAATTCGCGCGATAGAATCGGACAAGTAAATAAAACGAATGAGACAAAAACGAAGAGAGAGAGAATTGATTAAAAGTTGCCAAGTCAAATTAATTAAAATCAAACCGTATTGCGATCTTAGAAAAAAAACTTACGAGAGCCGGCCAAGCGACCGTGTTCGCGACAGCTGTGGCGCCCCTCAACAGTTTCCCGTTGATGCGAGGATGATGGTGGTGGTGATGGTGGTGGTGATGGTGGTGGTTATTATTCGCGTGATTGTGGTGATCGATGGCGATGAGGCTGGCGTGCCTCGGATCGGGTCGCTCGGCCCAGCACAGCCCCTTTTCCACCAAGAAGAACGAGAACACCGCGTCCCTGTGCGGCGATAGCCATTCTCTCCTTTGCCACTCCACGTCGTCGTATTCTACCAGGATCTGGAAGAAAGAGGCACGTTCATGTTGCGAGCTCGTTTCTCACCGTCTCAGCCTCGGCTCGGGGTTCGATGACACTTCCACTTACGTATCTACACCGCGGTTCAATCGCGCTTTGTTCCTTAGTTTGAATCGTAGTTTTGCTCTTGATTCCATATTATTCGGGGAATGGATACGTTCGATTTGGAAAAGAATTTCGGGTAGGAAGGAGGATGGTATTCGATATAAACTTTTAAACATCAGGTGTTATTACGAATCCGAGAAGAATTCGTTGAAAAATTTAATATGGAAAAATGGAGAATGGTTCGTTCGATGTTTAGCATCTAAGAAAACGAGGTCTCGTCGTCGATATTTTCGGATAGAAAGTAGACTCCGTCTCGATGAGAAAAACGAAAGAGAGCGGAAATAAGAGGGCGAGGAGGTGGATATTGGTACCGATTAACGGTATCCATTATTCATAAATCGGCGGCGTTGAGATGGTGATCGAAAGGAACGGTGAATTCTCACGCTCGGTTTATTCCAGCTCTTCGTTAACGCGATAAATTCGTTAACGCCGGGGAAATTAGCGATGAACGGAGCGATTGAAGGTCGCTCGACAAATGCGATCACTGTGTCTAACGATCGGGTGAAAGTGATCACCCGTGAGAATCAATCGTGTACATCTTTCCTCTCGAATTTTTCAATTGGTTATTTTTTTTTTGGTTATTTTTCGAAACGATCGATCGATCGGTTATTCGTCGGTTGATTTTACGACCTCGAACGACGACCAACATTCCTCTCTGGTGCAGCGCAACGAACTCAAAGGCACACGCGTGACCCGTTACGGTCGTGGCGCGTCAGCCAATTAAATGCATAAATCAACATTAATCGTGGCGCTGCTAGGTCGTCGAGACCTCGTCGTTCGCGATGCTTTTCGAAACGGTTTTATACAAAACGCTTCGCCTTTTTACAATCTCGCGTTTCGTATATTTTTTCACGCGATATTTTCTTCTTTTCGTTCCGAGGATACTTTTAGATTTTACGATATATAACTCTTTGAATTCTTGTGAATCATCTTATCGATTATATTTTTATATTTTAATTTCGCAATAAAATGTGTTATCTTTAAAGAGATTTCTGGGAAAACGTGTTTCTAATCTCTAAACAATCGAGCTGCCCGGATTCGTGGAAAGAAATCAACACGCAATATCGCGGGAGAAAAACGGATAAATTATTTCGTTGCAGCAACAAGAGAGAACCGGTGAAAAATAAATCTTTGTATGCCCTTGATTTTATCGAATACACGGTCACACGAATGCCCGCTAAAAGCGCGGGGAAAACGAGGCTTAGCGACTCGGGACTCGTCCGTCAGGCGGCGATACCTGTCAGAGTGGGGATCAGTAATGGCCGCCGCCGACACGAAAGCTCCGCCCACCAGTCAACGTTCCGGCACCGCCCGATCCGGTTGCCAAGGCGACCCGCGGTCGGCCATTTTGCGCTCGTGACCTACCACAACCGTCTCCTACAGCAGACACGAATCTTTCCCCTTCTTCGACCACCACTTTCGACCACGATTCACGTCTCCTCGCCCCCACCCGACTCGCCGCTACTCGTATCGCGCGCCGTCGCGGTCCGTTTCGCGTTCCCCTCGTTTGGAAACGAGGACCGAAAGGGAACGGTGTTGGCACGCGTGTTCCTCCAACGAAAAATTTCGAATCTTTTTTCCTTTCGCTACGCTTCCCTCGAATAAATCGACCAGAAACTTGAATTTCTTCCGATTCTCTTTCGTCTCCTAAACGAAGAATCGTTACGATAAGTGAAATTCGAATTGTAATTGCACCTCATCGCGCACGCTTCCCGATCAGATAAAACCGTTCGTCGCAACGTCCTCTCGACGTTTCTGAAAATCTGAAAACGGCGGCCATTGACCAACTTCCTTCGTACCTTCCGTGACTCTAATCACTATCATTCACCAACGGCGTGACAACGACCAGAAGGCGTGGATGGAAAACCGCCTTGCCCTCCCCTCTCCTCAGATTCAGAACGGATAACCGACACGTTTCCCACTTGCTCGATTCGATCGATGGCTATTCTTCCCTTCGGGCAATTTTTATCTTCCGCGTACGTATCGAAGAAGAAATTCGGGGGAATTCGTCTGAATCTGAAGGAGCGGCAAATTTATTCAAAATAACGTTACGATACGTTTTGACGGGGGGATAGGTATCTCAAGGTCACTGCCAACGTTTCGAAAAGATGCGTCACGCACTGTTTCGCGCATATTTATTTTCGCGGCGAGGAGGAAAGCGAGGACAATGACCCCCTCCCAGGGCGGTATCTTCCAAGGTCATTAAAGGTAACCTCTTTTATATACACACGCGTGTATATAACATTTCTTAAAATAAAGCCACACACGTTTTGAAATCACGTTTCAGCGTTTCTATCTCGGTCGATCGATGAACACATAAATCATTCGAATGGCTGTACACACAAGGCCACTTGACCGTATATAATAATATACCGACACTTTTGATTCACGAGGCGCAAAAAAAAAAAAAAAAAAAAAAAAAAAAAAGAAAAGGAAAAAGAACGAACGACAGTTCCAAGAGGCGAAACTGACTACGAGACGTGGAATTTCCAGAGTGTGGAAAGTAGTACGGTATATAGTTTCGTTCGTAGGAAGAATTTGGGATCAAAAGACGTTCCTCGTTGCGCATTAACTGTTGCACGCGGTTAAACACAGCTCTGTTGCGTTCATTATTTTCTTTTTTTTTTACGACGCCCTTTCGTGACCTACGCGATTCTCTCGCTTCTTTTCCACGCATGCCCGATAATTAAGAGAGAGAGAGAAAGAGAAAGAGAGAAATGGCTCGCCGGATCAGGTTACGCAGGCACAGTGGTGTTATTTACAAACTTTCGTGTCGTTAGGCAGGTCGGTCGCGCTTAGGAGGAAGGTTGAATCACCGAGCAACGTGCTCGCTGCTGTTTCGTCAAGAATTTTTGAAGCAACGAATATGTATCTTCTTTCTTTGTTCGCACTCGTATCGTATGCGATGTGAAATATTATATCGACTCGAATAAACAAAAAATGCAAAATTTAACAGTAGAAAAAATATCCGTTTATTTACGAGGCGGATAAAATAATTTGATGAATAAACTTTTGCGATCGAACCCTTCGAAGATGATTAATTCTTAACGTACATATACACGCAAATATAAAAAGAGCAAATGAGAAGTATGTAAATTATGTAATTTATTAATGCCTCGAAATATGAATATGCCATAGGCGGACGTGTGTACTGAGAAACTCGTGTTCCTAGCAAGTGGATATATCATCGAGTCCGCGAGTTATTTACATCAAGGAATAAAACTTTTTTAAATGCTTGAAAATATCAAGAGGTATCTTCGATCCGTACAATTCTAATAAATAATTATAATTAACGAGTCGCTATTTTCGTTCAATATTTTCATTCGATGGAATCGAGATTCTTTGGAAAGTAAGAGGGAGAAATCGAGATCGAGATGAAGATCGATCTTCCCGACGAGTGTTTTAGAACGGAGGGGGGAGGAGGAGGAGGAGGTGTAATCGAGAGAGGGATGGGTTCGATCCCGTCGCGACCCCGAACAAACTTTCTCGAGGAAACTTGGGGAGTTTGGGGACGGGGATTTATCGTAAAACACGAGATGGAAAGTTGGGTTTCGCGCGCGACGAAGAGGAGGCATTCCAGTTGCGTGGAAACGCAGTTTCAAAGGGCACGTGTGTCGATCGTATATTGGATCGGCTCGTGTCGAATATTGGAAACGAGGAAGAAAATGAACGAAGTTCTCCTCTCTCATATGCATGTAAAAGCATCTTTCCATCGAGTTCTATACGGTTCTTTTGTCCTTGACAAAAGGTATTCGTGAAAAAGTGGACGATCGAGAGAAAAACTTCTTTTTTAATTTTCGAGATAAATATATTTCTTCCTCGACGATTAAATTTATGTAATTAGAAATGAAACGTATGCAGAAAATGTAATACGATCTATTGCGTTATCGAAAGTTGAGGAATTAATAATTTATGAATTATTTTATTTCCAATAAATTTAGATTAGATATCGGAACTAAGCGCATCACAGTTATAAATTTATATGGAAATTTATATTTTAAACGTAGGATAGATAATTATCGAGATCAACATTTGCGTCAAACATTTTAATTTCTAACGTTTCTGTTTATGCTTTCGACGTGATGGAAATAATACGTGTAACGATTATCGAATGCGTTAATGGATTTTATGCAATGCGCCAACGTTATCCACGCTCTTATAATCACCGAATGTTAAAACGTTGCATTAATCGTAAGTCGAAGAGATTTTCTCTTTGAAAAGAAGTTAGAAAAACAATTATATACATAAATTCCATCTCGCAAAAGTATTAATCACCGACGAATTCACTGTTGTTGCCAGTTCAATCGGACTAACGTCGCACGATTAGAAGAAAATAACCGACTTCCAAATATTCTTTTTATATTTCCTGCTACCAAATATCAATACGATTACCAAACACACACACACACACACACACACTAATTTTACATTTCCACGTTCCTGTACACGAATATTTTTATCCCATCACAATGGATGCAGAAAGGAAAATAGAGAGAGGGAGAAACGAAGAGGCCTGATACATATTTAAAGGTAGGCATTCAGTATTGCATGACCCCTTCCGAGGGAACAAAAACGGAACGGCGTCGGCGCGCTGATGGAAAGAAAAAAAAAAAAAGGAATGGAAAGGAGAGGAAGGAAAAAACTGCATCCATGGCCATCATCCTCCACCGACTTCAACTTCGTCGTACGTAAAGAAAGAACCCGTCCCGCATTGTTCAACCCTTCCGTTAACAACGTCCCCAGCGAGCGGAAGGAGGGAGGGGGGGGAGCGGAAGAGGCGAGCGAGCGAAAAGTCACGGTCCATTTTTCCCCGCCTTTATTCCCCGCCCCGAATGTCCCTCAGTGTGTCATTAGTTTTGCCTTTGCTCGTCGCACGTGT